TTACGATATTATATCACTATAAATTCTATCACTATGTTTCATGTGTTAGGTCTTTGTCTCATTTGTTTCCTATTAGTCGTTCTGATTGATTTAAATATTTTGGTGTGGAGTGCAATAAGAATATTGTTAATAATTATCTTTCAAAATCAATATAATCCGTTACAGCTCATACTTATATGTGAAGTGGAATAGCAAAATTGTAATATACAATGAATCTAAGAGTATATTACTTACTTGCTGTAAATATTTACAACGCCAAACTCAAGTTAAACGGGCCAGCCCTAGCGGGTTTCGGGCTAGCCTTAATGGGCTTCGGTTTAAACGGTCCGGGCCTAAAAAACCCTGATTTAAACGGGCTACCAATAAAAAACCCTAACCCTAGTTTTTTACGGGCTAAACGGGCCGACCCGTCGGGCCAAGGACCGTTTAACATCTCTACTCATGGCTGGAATATCTTTTTCTTTATATTATATAATAATTAAAAATTTAGTAAAGAATGAGTATTAAATTACAACTAATACAACACCCGTGTATTATATTACACGGGTGCTTGTTAAAAAATTATTTTTAAATTTTAAAATTAATGAGAAAACTATATTAAATTTAGTTTACTTTTTTATAAAAAAAAAATATTACTATATATTTTAGAATGATAGTTACTTATGACTTACATGTGTTATATTATATTAATTTTTATAACTTATATCATATAACTACTTGAAATATAAAGATATTAGTTGATAAATAATTTTATTTTTTAATTAATTTTAAAAATAATTTTATTATTGTTATAAAGATAAATAAATAATTTTTTTATATATACAGTATGGATGTTAAATTGAAGCTCATCAAAAGAAGATTAATTTGATATATTACATATGCAAAACTGATAAAAAATACAAAAGTTATTAACTTTTAAAATATATATATACAATTCAATAATTATAATAAGGAATGATATTAAAATGCAATTAATACATGTAACATGACCATAAATAATCAACATATTTATGGTAATTTGAACCTAATTATTTTTGGTTTGGAATTAAATTAAAATTTACCCAAGCTTAATAACGAAGCATGTAATTTTGCTACATAGGATTTCGAAGCACCAGAAGCAGCCACGTAGGCTCAGCGTGTTCTGTATTGATATATAGGGGGATAGATGTACATGTAAGATTTTTTAAACTATTTTGTAAAAAAAACATGTCTAAAAATAATTAAACTTAACATGTGTTACGTATATGTGAGTATATATATGTATATATAGATAGAATATGTAAAAAAATATGTCTTAACATTTTGTTTAAGTATCTAAAATACTATAAGCCTAAATAAAGACATTATCTCACGCTAAAGTTGTCTTAATGAAGATTTATAATATACCATAATTATGATGTTACTTCCATACGAAGATTTGACTACACAATATTTCAAAAATTACTATCATTTTTTAAGTTGCTACCATAAAAATGAATTTGTACGCTTAACAATTTATCAATTTTACAAATATAAATTAAAATTAATACAAAAGCTATCAATTTTACAAATACAAATCGAGATTAATGCACACCAAAAATTATGTGACAAATAATAAATTTTATATGTAATTGAGATCAAAGACGAACACTGAAGACTGTTTCTATTAACATTTACAATGTGTATTTAATGTTTTTTTTTTTGACAAAATATTCTTTCTAAGTGTGATATATAAATATTAAAAATACTTAAAATATTTTAT